GCGGTACTCGGATCCACGAGGGACCGCTTGATTATGGGCACTACATAGTACGTCATCATTGCGACTGCTTGCGTATTCATGCATAACTAGTCGATATGAGAAGGCCTTGCGTCCGCGCGGTTTTATACTAAGTCTCGGGCACGTCGCCGATCGGATTTCCACGTCGGAAGGTTATGGGATGAATACAAAAGGGACTATGAGAGTTGTTGTGTTGGTTTTTTTTGTGTTGTTTGGTATATGTGAGTGTTGTGGTGTAACACGTGGTATGTAGGGACGCATCCTAGTCGACTGACAAAGAGTCGCGCTTGGGACTTCAACCCTCGAGTGCGTCGGTTCGTGTGCGAGTCCAATAGAGGCGTAAAACCTCGCATACCCCCTATGCCACAGCGGACGAGAAACGCCCTCGACTGGTCCACCTCGACAATTGCAACTGATTAGCTTTCGTACTGTGGACTGGTAGCTCGGCGGGGATACACCCACCGAAGGGAGGTGACAACTCCCGTAAGGTGGAGGTAAGTCGTGCCTCGCATTGACCTTATCCTGTCGTAGGGGCTCGCGAGACGTACGGCTGGCGCACTCAGCCGAAGTGGCTTGCGGAAGCTCCATGTGTATTTGCGACGAGGATTAGACCAACTCCTGCATGACGCGGTCGGGGGAGTCTCGCCCTGTGCAGCGTGGGACCGATGCGCTCGACATCGCCTACGGGCCATATACATAAGATTCCACACATGAAGTTGTCTGTACATCTCGATACATAGAATCACAAAGCATATACAACCTTCAGATATACATACAGCTTGCGAACGTACAACTATAATATCAGGCGGGGCGAGTCGAGTCATTAGGTGAGGTCTAGTATCTGCAGTAGGTTCAGGTAAGGGGTTCCTACTGACATTCGGATACAAATGTCCGGTGGCTATATATAATGCTTAGACCCGGGTATGGGTAGGGATATAAGTCGCTCAAGCCAGTCCGAGTTCCTCCTGACCTTGGGTAAGCTAGGGGAAGGACGGTAAAACTACTTCAATGGGTGCTACCCTATCTGAACCAAGAGTCTATGTCTCTTGGGGCCTGTAGTAGATTGTTTGGGCCTGACGCCCGAAGTTCCCATTCGACAAGGCTCGTCCGATTCCGCTTCCACCAGGGTTGGACAACCTATCAGCCCTGGTGCCTATCACTGCTGTTTGGTCCAAGTTGCCTGCCCTTTGGGAGGGCAATGGTCCTGAGTTGGTCACACTGAGGTAGGATAGTAGGATAGGGGGTGCGCTGAGAGTATTGACGTGAGGATGGGATGGGAGGTGGTCTCATTGTTCAGGACACCCGTGGCTCACAGCTCCAGGTAATCATTGTGCACTTGGTGACTGGCCTCTTCAACACCCTGGACTTAAAA